GCATTTCTGCATTCTTCCTCAAACTCTTCCCATGATTCCCATGTATCCCCAGTATAAAAACATTAGCCCCAAGTAGCCAGGGAGCCAAATGAACAGCCTCTGCCCAAACCTTTTGCGCTACTGGATCTGACAGATCCAATCCCCTGCTTTTAAGCATATCTCTCAGTTTAAGCACCGGGTCCTCAGGCTTATTGATTACGTTACCCATCTTTCAGGTCTCACTTACCCCAAGCTTCTTGATTGGCCCCAATCCGTTATTTTTCTTTCTTTCTTTTCTTCTTTCCACCTTCCTTCAAGTGCCATGCTGGGCGCCAGCTGCCAGGGGTTCGAACCAGTGACCCCCGCGCAGTGATGACTGGGGATGACTAAGCACGCCATTTGCCAGCCCACGCCGCCCCCAGTACCAGGAACACTCAGGCTCAACAGGGAGCCTAGTCAAGCAGGGACTCATTTATTGCAGGTGTTACAGAGCTTACAAAGGCATCTGGAAATTCCCCTCTCCACCTCCCCCCCCCCAGGGTGTATCTTAAGGATGGTCACACTAATCATGCACTCCTCAGCAGTGCAGAAGTATCCTTCAGACTTCTAAAACACGTCAGGCTGCGCCCCAGTAACTTCCTCTTGGACCTCTGCAAGGTGGGGCCTTTAGGTCCCCACAGGAGGCAGGAGGATCAAAAGTACAAGGTCATCCTCAACTACATAGCAAGTTTAAAGCTAAACTACACAAGACCTTGTCCCTGAATAAATAATAAAGTCAATACTACTACTGTCAAAAATTAACAGCCGTTGAGCTATTTTCTAGGTATTGTTTTAAGTACTTTATGTGCATTAATGATTCATAATCTCCAAAATAATCTTTAAAATATTCCCAGGTGGCATGTTACCCCATATATATCTTCATTTAGCTTCCTTATCTCAAGTTATCTTTTTTGAAACAGGATCTAATTATGTAGTCTACGCTGGTCTCAAACTCCTGATCCTCCTGCCTTTGCCTCTGCCTTGGTGGAATTACAGGCATGCACCACCATACCTGGCGGGACTTCTCATCTGAAAATTATGAAGCACTTCAAATCAGATACTAGTTGCAGTTATGCACATGTGAACAGGGTAAGATGGTAGTGTAAACATGTTCCAGGTCCTCCATTAAGGGAAAGCAGTAATTCTACTCTCAGAATTTAATTACTATCTAACCACAAAAGATTGGTACTAGATGTGGTCATCCATGGCACAAATACTTTTAGAAAACAGAATTTGCATGAGAATTAGCTACACAGCAGAGAACCTATTAAAATTCTGCAGATAAAATCAAATTCTAAACAGCATCTGTGAAAAATCACCAGTCAGACCTGTCTTCTAAAAGAGTTACACATGATCACTATTTACAATCTGTCACCTTCACCAATACAGAGATCTAAACAGAATCTCAAAATATATAATCAATAAAGGTTTCCACAAACTTACTTCAACAATCTAGATTTCTGACAAACTGATCTGGGAGGGAGCAGGAAATTCATGAGGACCATATTTTAAATGTATTTATTTTTATGTGTATGAATGCATTGCCTGCATGTAGGTAGGTGCACCCGTGTTGTACAGTGCTTGAGGACAAAAGAGAGCATCAGATTCCCTGGAACTGGAGTTTTGGATGGTTGTTAGCCACCATGTGGGTGATGGGAATCGAACCAGGGTCCTCTGCAAGAGCAGCCAGTGCTTTTAACTGTTGCACCATCTCTCCAGCCCCCAGGGACCATATTTTATTATTTTTTTAAAATGTTAGAACAGAAAATAGTACTACTAATCCTTTTTAGGGAAATTTCAGTAACTCAAACTTCGAAGAGGGGAAGAATGACATTTTAAAAGTTCATGCAAACAAAAAAGATTCCACTAACACTAAAATTAAGCTAAAAATTGAAAAATGTAAGGTTGGGCATGGTGCTGCACACCTTTAAGCCCAGCACTCAGGAGGCAGAAGCAGAGGCAGAGGCAGGCGGATCCCTTTGAGTTCAAGGCCAGCCTGGTCTACATAGTAAGTTCCAGGACAGCTGGGGCTACAGGGAGACCCTGTCTCGAAAAGACCAAAAAAAACCCTCAAATAGACTCAATTAATGCTGGCTTGCAAATGATAAAATTAGCCAAGTGACTAAAGCCCAAAGGACTGCTAAACCAGAACTCATGTCTGGTCCCATTTTGTTTACTGCTTCCCCTGCAGCACCAGGCCAAGCACAGTAATTGCCACAGGTAAATGCACAGAATCCCCTGAAACTTTTTCCTTAGAAAGAAATGCAAATTAAATTTCTAAGATCACCCATGAGAGAATCCTGACCCCCTACTGAACAAGTGGGTAGCTTTCTAGAATAAAATTTGGGGTGCCATTCAGACTGGTAGCAGAGAAAACTTGGGAAGCTCTTGTGCTACTGAATGATGTTCTAACACTGAAAACCCTGTAGCAAAAGGGAGTTTCAGCAGCTGGTAGGTACTAACATATTCTTAATAAAACAGCTCAAGAGACTGGAGAGATGGCTCAGTGGTTAAGAGCACTGGCTGCTCTTACAGAGGACCCGGGTTTGGAATCCAGTGATCCGATGTCCTCTTCTGATATCCACAGGCATTGTACAGCATGAGTGCACTTATTTACAAGCATGCAGGCGTAACACTCATACATGTAAAACAAAACAAAACAAAACAGCTCCTGGGGCTGGAGAGATGGCTCAGCAGTGAAAAGCACTGACTGCTCTTGCAGAGGACCTGGGTTTGAGTCCCAGCACCCACATGGTGGCTGTGAACCATGCTTAACTCCAGTTCCAGGGGAACCCGAAGCCCTCTTCTGACCTCAGCGGCATTGCACAACGTGGGTGCACTCACTTACATGCAGGCAATACACACACACACACACACAAAAAAAAAACCCCACAAAACCCCCCAGCACCTATCTACATAACCTTACATGACTGCCCTCTTTAGAACTCAGTTCTTCCTCTATAATGTGGGTAATAAAAGCATCTATACCCTAGCTCCTATCATGTACCCAATGGGAAGGACCCAGGGCAGTAGCTGTGACAGAGATCTCAGAAAACCCATTTCCATTTTCTTTTCAATTTTAAAAGTTGTATCTCGGAGCATTTTGCCTGCATGTAAGTAAGTGTACTACGTACCTGTAATGCTCAAGGACAGAAGGCAGTGGAGCCACTGGAATTGGAGTTAAGAACAGTTCTTAGCTATCATGGGTGCTGGGAACCGAACCCAGGTCCTCTGCAAGAGCAGCCAGTGCTCTTAACTGGGTCATCTGTCCAGACCTGTTTCCATTTTTGTTTTAAAAATATTTTTATTATTTTTATGTGTATGAGTGTATGCCTGCATGTATGTAAGTGCACCTGTGTCATGCAATGTCCTTGGAGATCAGAAGAGGGCATCGGATTCCCCTGGAACTGGAGTTACAGACACCTGTTAGCCACTATATGGGTGTTAGGAATCAAACCCAGGTCCTATGTAAGAGCAGTCAGTGCTCTTAACTGCTGAGCCATCTCTCCAGGCCCCGCCCCATTTCCATTTTAAACTGGCTCTTTTGCTTATTTTAACAGATTCAGAATTTCTGAGTCCTAACAAAAAAAAAAAAAGGAAAAAAAAATTGGCTTCCTTACAGAATGAGGGAAAAACCAAGATGCTGAAAAGAACACAGGATGAAGGCTGTCACAGTAGGATCCAGTCACTAATTAGCTAGACAGACTCCAAATCACTTATTTAACCTTCTTTTTAAGGCCACATAAAAGCACCTGAAGTTCAGGTGTAACTACAAAATCAGCCTTACAAATGCCCAGTGCCTATGAAAACTATTTGGCAAGGACTGATAAATATAAAAATTACTCCTTATCCAAGTGGAACAACAGCAAATTCTTCAAAGAGTTGCCTTATGAAAGATCTGCTAGAAGTTCACACATTTTCTTAGTAATTTCATGTTAATAAAACTGAGCTGAAACTGGACTGTAAAGTGCCTTCTGCAAAAACATGAGGACCTGACTTTGGATCTCTAGCACCCACAGGAATTCTGGGTATGGTGGCACATGTCTCTAACTCTAGTGTTGAAGGGAAGGGAGGAGAGGGGACAGGAGGACCCCTAGAGGTTGCTGAATAGCCAATCCAATCAGTGGGTCCCAGGCTCAGTGAGAAATCCTGTCTCAAAAGCTAAGATGGAGTGACCGAGGAAGACAACCAAAGCTGACCTCTGGCTTCTACGTGGACATGCACACATATATACGTACATACAACACCACACACAGTTACCAGACCAAGATTTTAACATTAAAAAGTTATATACATATATGTATATATATAAATACATAATTTCACATGTATGAGTGTTTTACTGGTATGTATGTGCACCACATGCATGAAGGTCCCCTCAGAGGCCAGAGGGTGGTGATCTCAAATTGTAGTTGCATGAATTGTTAGCTGCCTGTGGGTTCTTGGAACTGAACCCGGGTCCTCTGCAAGAGCAGTACATGCTCTTAACCACTGAGCCATCTCTCTGGCCCTGTAATTGTTTTTCTGAGACAGACTCTCATATAGCTTAGGCTGTTCTTCAACTTGCTATGCACCAAAGGCAACCTTGAATTTCTGATCTTGCCTCCATCTCTTGAATGTTGGGATTCATAGGACTGCACCACCATGCTCAGTTTATGGAGTATGAGGGACTCGACCCAGGGCTTAATGCAGCTACTCTGCCAACTGAGCTACATCTTAGCCCCAGCACTACTTCAAAGATATTTGTTTACTCATATGTATGCCTGTGCACATATGTGTGGGTGCCTAGAGACCAGAAGAGGGTGTTGGATCTCCCTGGAGCTGGAATTACAGGCAGTTGTAAGCTGCCTGATGTGGGTCCTGGGAACCAAACACAGGTCCTCTGAAAGAACAGCAGGCACTCTTAATCTCTCTAGCCTTCCAGCATTCCTTTAATTTTTTTTTCTCATTAATGGTTTTATTCAAGAACAAGAACACAGTAATATAGAAAACCTAGATTTATTTAAACTATTATTACAAAGACAAAACATTATCATTGAGTACTTTGAAGACTTCATTACAGATGACTTGTTACAGAAAGCTAACTGAAGAGGATGGATGTTCAAGGACCTAACCTAGGAGACCAAAGAGCAGACTGCTCAACGACAAGCAGCAGAAGCTAGCACAGAGCACTCGTGTCATGGATATGTAGTTCAGATTTCCCCCAGAGGCTAGTCAGCCTGAACTGATATGAGGCCCAACAAAGGACCAATGCCTCTGTGGAAATGACAGAGGCCAATCCCTTGGAGACCTCTACTTCATAGGGTTATGAGTTCCTTTAAGCCCCAGAGAGGCATCTAAGCTTCAGCCTCCCTCTTTCCCACCAGTCTATCCACACTTCAAGCTCCTGTACATTTTGCCACACAGGCCTGCCATCAGCCAGATGTACACACAGCAAAGGCAGGAATTATAGGCTTAGACACAGGAAGTTTGGGGGTAAATGATAAACTACAAATCCCCCCTCAGTTAATTAACCTTTGTTATAAAGGTTGTAGTTTCTTCTGCTGTTGACAACTTGTTTCATATTTGTCTTGAGAAAGAACTGGGTTTAGTGAGTTTTGGAGAAGGAAAAAACCTTTCACCAACCCCACTCTAGAGTGGAAGAGGCACCAAGTTCCCTCCTACAGTTATGAGCAGAATCTGAAAAACAAAAAGTTTAGAATTATTATTAATAGCCATTATTTACTGAATGCCTTGGTAAGGGTTCCAGAAGACTTACAGAAATATCTCAATTCTTGTGACAGCCCTGTCAGGTAGCTAATATCACCCCTATTTTACAGATGAGGACACTGAGGAACAGACAAGTTATGTATGTGCCCTTTCAAAGACACAAAGCTAATATGTGTATGGCTGAGCTGTGACCCCACCATCCATGTGTATTCTTCTGCACCCCCATCTCAGGCACCGAGAGGTTCATTATCTTGAAATCAGTAACAGTTCCACGAACAGTCTTTTCTTTGTTCTGCTTTTAAACACATACAATCTTAAATGATTAAAAACTATAAACACTGTGTGGAAATCAGGTCAACTATTCAGATCAAGAGTATGAATAAAATTTATGAGTACAGTATTTGACTCTGAGCAGAGGGCATAAAATGAACAGAAATAAACCAACAGCTCATTAGAAAATTCGTGGTGATTTTATGGTTATTTCACCATTACAAAGAATCCTCAGAACCTTACCAGGGACTGCAGGAGCATCCCACTTGTGGAACCATTAGTGACATGCCAAGTGAGTTTCTCATGACTGTTAGAAACAGAATGGCTGATAGTCTAAACAGTTCATTCTTTCCTTTTTTTAAATATATATTTTATTTGTTGTTTTTATTTTATGTGTGTGAGTATATTGCCTGCATGTAGGTAGGTGCACCCATCATGCAGTGCCTGAGGAGGTCAGAAGAGGATGTCGGGTAACCTGGAACTGGAGTTACAGATGGTTGTTAGCTGCCACGTGAGTGCTGGGAATCAAATCCATATCCTCTGTAAGAGCAGCCAGTGCTCTTATCCACTGAGCCAGCTTCCAGCCCCTTAACAGTCCATTCTTCAAAGAGAAATCTGCAGAAGCTATATGATACCCAAAACTGTCTTCCAGGTCTACTAAAACATTTACTAACTGACTGGCTCTGAACTGAAAAAAATGAGCAGCTATAAAAAAATGTGATGAGAAGGGAGAAGAACCTAAACCTGGGAGAAGGCTTCCACAGCCTGGCAATGCTAACCCAGTGAAATGAGCCGCTAACATTAGAAAAGATACCACTGATACAGGCTGTATGAAAGAAACCAAAATACAAGCAAGACTACATAATATTTATGGGAAGAGATAAAAATCACAAGTACCCAAATGTTTCATGTAAGAAAAGCAGTATTAGATTTAAAATTGCAATAATTTCGAAACAGAAATTTTAAAGACTGATTTCCAATACAAACCAACATGGGTAGGAGAGTGAACACTTTTAACTACAGAAAGTCAACATTCACTTAAGGTTCAGAACTGAAATTGACACCGGAAGAAATCAAAGGATCAAAAGGATTTTTTCCAGTGTGGGGGCTGATGGAACCCAGGCCTGAGAGTGTGCTAGGCAAGTGCTCTACACCAAGTCACACTCTCGGCTCCTGAAATATTTGCATATATTTGCCCCGGCAGAGAATAGGCAGGGCACTCAGAACACAACTGGATGACGGGGTGGGGGGTGGGAGTGGCAGAGCCAAGTCAAAATATACAAATTCTGCCCTGTCATGCTATAATACAAACTTTAATAAGATAAAAGGACCTGGAGAGCAGTAGTGGAAAGACTGAAGACAGGCAGTATTCCAGAAGATATGCTCTTACAAGCAGGAAGGATGGACAATTTAATAAAGCAAAATGGTAAAAGGAACGGAAGGAAGGACAACTTACTGCAGGTACTAGACATTGTTCTGTGTGATGGAACTAGCTACATGGTGTTCAATCACCAAACAAAAGTACAGTTTCTGTACTCAGGCTGGCAAAGGGCAAAACATTTCACAGGGTTAACAAGCAGCAGATACTCAGGGATGAAGGTGCGGGGTGAAGTTCACCAGGACAAGCCAGGAGACAAAACTGGCAGAAAGCTTGTATGTTTGTTAGCCATGAAGAGCAGGCAGGGAAGAACCTGGGGGAAGTGATGGCTTTGGGTGACTGCATGGACTGGACAAATCAGCCTCGACCACTAAGGTACATAGGCCATTTGTTCCCCATTGTTCACAGGAGGGAAACCAAGACCAGATTATGATTAACAGCTTAAGCTCAGTTTGGAATTACTTCTTCCTCTCTTAACTGAAAAGCAGTGAGCTGCAGCAAAGCACCAACACACTAAGGACTCAACTAACACAAAGAAGAAAAAGTGACTCAGGCAAACCAAGACCCGCTCAGGCCCTGTCACTCCTGCTGAGCCAGCCACAGATCTGTTTCTGAAGATGGCGCCTATCAATTGCTAATCTTACAAATCCACTTCTTTCTCGTCTACATACTCTGGATTTGTAGTGTAGTATTTGGCAGATTTAAATTGAACACTGCAATTTTGCAGACTGATTTCTTAGGGCAAAAACAAGTAATTTTTAGGAAACAGGGATGGGCAATGTATTTTCAAACTGCTAATCTTACAAAATTCTCTTGCATTATGAAAATAATAATTATTTCATACAATTTTCATGTTCAGTGACAAAGGAAAGAAAAAGTTACTCACCTATTTATAGCAGCATAAACGGTTTTCAGTGATCGACATCTGCATCCTCAAACTGCCCAGCAACTGCTGGTGTGGTATCTACCTCCATACCATCTGAACAAAAAAAGGCACTGCTGAGCCATATGCCCTGGTAGCTCAGGCTGGACTTTAAGTCCTGATTCTCCTGCCTCAGTCTTCCAAGTGCTGGAACTACATTCATGCACCACCATGCCAGAGTATCCCCCCAACTTTTACTATTTTGAAACCTAAAGTACCCAAGGGGAAACTGAGAAAGAAAAATGTAACTTGTGGGTTTAAGTCAAGTTAAAATAAGTCCAAAGATTCAACATTTACTTTGTGAATTTACATTAACACATAAACACAAAAATTCTAGATAAAAACCTTCCTTTTTTAGGGGGGAGGGGAGTACAGGCTATGTAGCCTGTCACAGTATACTCCAAGCTCACTTCCCAAGTGCTAGGATTACAAATGTGTGCCAGGACTGCTGGCAGGAATTTTCAAATGTATTAAATATCAAGTATTCACTCTTCACAGATGTGTGTGAAGTATTTACATTATTTAAAGGTGTGTGGGCAACACTCACAAAGCTTATAATATAGCCTGGGAGAAAAGAAAAACCAAGCAGAGTGAATTTATCTCCCTAGTTTTCTTTTTACTATTGATTTTTTTTCTTTCTTAGTCTTTTTGAGACAGGGTGTCCCTGTAGCCCCCGCTGGCCTGGAACTCACTATGGACACCAGACTGGCCTCAAATTCAGAGATCTGCCTACCTCTGCCTCCCAAGAGCTGGAATTAAAGGCGTGCACCGCCATGCCCAGCTTATTATTTTATTTTTATACATACAGTGTTTTATCTGTAAGTATGTAAGTATACTCTGTGCATTTTATCTTCGGAGGCCAGAAGAGTGTCAGACCCCTGGAATTGGAGTTATACAGCTGTTAGCTGCCAAGTGGGTGCTGAGAACCAAACCTGGGTCCTCTGCCAAGAGCATCCAGTGCTCATAAGCTCTGAGCCATCTCTCCAGCCTCTCCCAATTTTTCTTATTTTACTAAAAAGATGGGGGAGGAGGCAGAAAAGCAGCCTTTCTTTACCACTGCTTTCTTTACTGCCTCATTTGACCATTCACTCCTCACTTTTTTTTTTTTGGTCTTTCTGAGACAGGGTCTTCCCTGTAGCCCCTGCTGGCCTGGAACTCACTATATAGACTAGGCTGGCCTTAAACTCACAAGAGATCCTCCTGCCTCTGCCTCCCAAGTGCTGGGACTAAAGGCATGCGCCACCATGCCCAGCTTCACTCCTTACTCTTCAGCCTGCCACATGTCTGCCACAAGCCTGCTGGCATCCTATCACCTGCACACACAAACATAACATGTATCTAAAATTAACCTGGGCACAAGTTAGCTCAGTGGGTAAGCATCTGCCACCAAGCCTGATGACCTAAGATTCTGGGATCCATGTGGTGGAAGGTGAACTAATGCCTCCAGTTGTCCTCTGACCCCCACACCCACATGATGGATCATGTATGCCCACACATATGCAAAATAAATCTGTCTTTCCATGTTAAAAAAGCTTTTTTTCTAGCCTTGCTAAAGTCCTCTTACCAGAAACTCTTAATCCTGTTTCTAACTTCTGTTGCTTCTATCTCCTAGAATCTCTGAAATGGTCCAATCTTTTCTATGGTACATCTGCAGGGGTGCCTGTGGAGGTCAGAGTAGGAAGCTGGGTGTCTTCCTTCCTCTCTCTACCACTTTGCTGCCTTGTGACAGTCTCTTACTGAACCAGAAGCTTGATGTTTGGCCAGGCTAATGGGCCAGCCAGTCAATGAGCTCTCAGGATTTGCCTACAACCTCTCCCTCCCATGCCAGAGTCAGCCGGTGTGGCCATGCCCAGCTTTTATGTGGATTCTGGAGATTGAACTCAGGTCCTCATGCTTATAGAGCAAGAAGCCTTCTTACCCAGAGCCACCTCCCCAGCCCAAATCTATTGGTATCAATGGCCTCTGCTTCATGTAGGCCACTCCTAGTCTCCTCTCTTCTTCCCTTCATTATTTTTCCTCTCCAATCAATTTCCAGTATAGCAACCAGTAGTAATATGAAGCTAATCAAGCTGTCAATGACTTTCCACTGACCTAAAGGTAGTGGTTCAGATACCAATGAGATCTTCAAGTTCCTCTGAGACATGGATCGGTTCCTAACTCCATTGTTCTGTTACATATTAATTACGTTTTGTACACTTTAAAATAATAAGCACAATGAACTGTAGTTTCCCAAAGGTATGTGTCCTCTTACCCCTCTGACATGGCTAATGCCTTTAAGTGCATCCCCCCCGCCTTGTAATCTCCGAGTCCCATCTTTGTATTGTTCAGGTCTTTGCTTACTACTCCACGAGGCTTGACTGTCCCTCTTCTGGTGATCATGGGCACTGCACAACACAGGTACACAACACATACGCAAGCAAAACACTTATACACATAAAATAAATTTTTAAAAAGAATATTCTGCTGGGCATGGTGGCACACACCTTTAATCCCAGCACTTGGGAGGCAGAGGCAGGCGGATCTTTTTGAGTTTGAGGCCAGCCTGGTCTACACAGTGAGTTCCAGGCCAGCTGGGGCTACAGGGAGACCCTCTGCAGTCATTAAAAAGGAGAAATGCTAAGGTGTTACCACAGCATACAATATTAATAAATATTAAATACATGTAACATGCAAAAAATGCTTATAACAGTGGTAGGTATATCATTTAAAAATATTTTATTTGTTATTTTCACTTTATATGGATGAGTGTATTTCCTGCATGTAAGTGTACCTGTGTCGTACAATGCCTGCAGAGGTCAGAAAAGGGCATCTGATCCCCTGTAATTGGAGTTATGGACAGCTGTTAGCTGCCATGTGGGTGCTAGGAATTGAACCTGGCTCCTCTCAAGAGCAGCTGGTGCTTTTCATTTCTGAGCCATCTCTCCAGCCCCAATGGCTCATTTAATCCTCTTGCCACTGACCTCAAGCACACTCTGCTTGCTATCTTTCTGTGCTGCAGTTTTCTCATCTATAAAACAGGGACCTTAAAAGTATTTTTCCAATAGCATTCTTGGAAGGATTAAATGAAAATGTTCAATGTGCTTAAATCAGGGTCTAGCACATACTTAATCTGAGGATAAAAGAAATAATATTGGAGACACTTGGCATAAAAACCATTGTACCTTCAGAACCAAAACTGTATGATGGGAGCTGGGGAGATGGCTTAACAGGTCAAGTGCTAGCTGTGCAGGCCTGAAGATCCGGATCCCTGGAACCCAAACCCATGTAAAGCTGGATGTAGTGGTGAGCATTTGTAATCCCACCACTCCTACAGCAAGATGGGAAGCAGACAGGAGAATCATCCCCAAGCTTGTAGGCCAGCTAGACTGGAGTAGACACAGAGACTCTGTGTCAACAAGTGGAAGTCAGGAACTGACTCTTAAGAGCTGTCCTCTGACCACACCTGCACCACTGCAGGCTTGCATTCTCCTTCCCGCACCCTCTCACATACATACATACGATAAATAAGAATTAAACAAAATATGGTGGAGTAGTTGGGAGGCAGATGCAGGTGAATCTCTGTGAGTTCAAGGCCAGTTTGGTCTACACAGTGAGTTTCAAGTCAGTCAGGCCCACACAGTGGCCCTGTGGCCCTGTCAAAAAAAAAAAAAAAAAAAAAGAGGATAGGATTAAATATTGGCACCCCTATGACTGACCAAATTTTTTAATATATTTTTCCTTTTTTTTTTTCTGACCCAATTTTTAATTACTTTATTTATTGTGTGTGTGTGTGTGTGTGTGTGTGCGCGCATGCATGCACACCTGGTCTATATAGTGAGTTCCAGGTCAGCTGGGGCTATAAGGAGACTGTCTCAAACAAACAAACAAACAAACGAGCGAACAAACAACTAAAACCTAGCTAAAACCAGAAATACAGTTTTACACCGGTGCTCACAGCACTAGGGAGAATGAAGGAGGGGAGATGCCCAGAGTTTGAGGCCAATCTGTCCTTAGGCTTCTACATGCATGTGGTACATATAAACTCACTCAGGCATGCACACATATACACATAAAAATAATAAATGAAATAAACTTAAAACCTACTATTGTACACACACACACACACACACACACACACACACACATGCGTGCGCACACATATAAAGATGGGACAATGCCTCTCATAGACACCAGAGGTTATCAAACAAAAAGCCTAGTTCCAGGCATGGGCTACCTCTTTTTGGGTTGTTGGTCAGCTGAGTCCCACAGACCTGCTCCTAAAACATTATAGGCTACTGCACTGCTCTTGGTTACCCTCCAGAATTTGATGTTGAGACAACACATACTTGAGTTACAACATGGTGAAATTAAGCTGCTACCAACCTAGACGCTTCCTCCTCAATGGCTAGCTTTCACAGTGCTGGGAGATGACTATGCACACTATCAGGGGAAAAAATAGTCAACAGTCTCATCCAGCTATGAACCCTGTGAGCTACAAGATATGCCTACTGGTACAGCAGTGGCACAAATGTTATGGGAGCAGCCAGCTACTTTCTGATTGTACTTAAGCCCACTGCACAAGATGTAACCTGGGCCTGTTAACTAGGCTGAGAACCTGTGGTCAGGTAGGTCATGGGCACTAGGGAAGAATCTACTACTCTTCTAAATGAACATAGCATTAACTTCCCCCTTCAGTATTTATCTTTATGCCCATAGATTAGTGCATCTCTAAACCTCATCAGAGATCAAAAGCTTCCCTTTCTGGAATAGATGTGAACAAAACAGAGTTTTGTTCATGTTACAATGAGCACTATTAGGGTAGGCCCTAACTTAGTATTACTGGTTATCCTTCATAAAGGCGGGATGGTTAACTACAGCTAGCTTTCAAACATCATTTCAGATGTTTCTGTGGAGATATTTTACGTGATATTAACATTTACATCATGTGGTGGGCTCATTTAACCAGATGGCATTTCATAGGAAAACAACTGATCTTCCCTAAGTCAGAAGAGAATTTGCTTAGAAGTTCAGATGTGCTAGTGCACACCTAGAATCCTAGCATTTGGGAGCCCAAGGCAGGAGGATCTCAGGTTGAAACCAGCCTGGGCTACACAACAAGACCACTGATCACCCTGCCCCAAATTCTTCATCAGACCACTTTCTGGATCAAACTGCCAATCAATGAACTCTTCCCAGAGTTTCTGATTGCTAGTCCTGTAAAGTTTGGACTTACTAAGCCTTTATCATCAGGAGCCATTTCTTAAATCTTTCTCCTTAATATACATGTAAATACACACACACACACACACACACACACACACACACACACACACACACCTCACACCAGAGAACAAGTGTGAACCTATCAACACACAGGTCATCCTGTCATTTCATACATATATATGAAGGATTGTTCAATTTAACAGAAGATATCACACAGAAACAGAATATATAACAGCAGTCAGGAGTAGGGTTTGTCATTGTGTGTGCGTGCGCATGCACGTGTGTGTCTGTGTGTGACACACACTGTTGGTTGTTTCCCTGAAAAGCCATGACTAATAGAAAGGGGAAATCTGGACATGTGGGCTGAGGGAAGACAATGTAAGGACAGAGGAAGATGACAGCCAGCTATAAGGCAGAGGCTGCAACAGATCCTTCCCTCATAGCCATTTGAGAACCAATCCAGCACTTCCATCTTCCTGGAGTAGGAGGTAATACATTTTTGTTTAAACTACTCAGTCTATGGTACTCTGTTATAATAGCCCAACTAAACTAATACAGATTTGCTAAAAAATAGTAGATATAGTTGGGCATGGTGATGTACACCTTTAATCTCAGCACTCAGGAGGCAGAGGCAGGAAGAGATCTGTGGGATTGAGGCCAGTCTGGTCTACAGAGTGAATTCCAGGACAGCTGGAAGATCTCATCTCAAAACCAACCAAACAAACCAAAAGTAGCAATATCTCAGAACTGCACCTGACATGCCCTACCTTCACCCCATTTCTTCTTTGCTGCTCATCTCTGAGTATTTAAAAATATTTTTAGTTAGTACTGTGGCTAAGTGGAAAAGCAGAGGCCTAGTATGGGTGCCCCCCGCAAACAAAACAAGCAGAAAAGAAGAAGGTTCAATTTAAACACTGAACTATTTTTTTAAATATTTAGTTTATTTTTGTGTGCATTTGTGTGTGTGTGTGTGTGTGTGTGTGTGTGTCTGTCTAAGCAAGTGTATGCCATGTGTGTAAAGGTGCCTGCAAAGGTCAGAAGAGGGTGTCCAATACCCAGGAGCTGCAGTTTCATGTGGCTCAGCCACCCAACATTGGTTCTAACTGAACTGGGGTCCATGAAGAGAGCAACCATTCCTAACTGCTGAGCCACCTCTCCAGCCCCACAGGCTATTTTTTTTTTTTGACATGTAATTAATTAATTAATTTAGTGTGTGTGTGCACGTGCGCACTCGCACATGTGGGCAAGTGCCATGAAGTGTGGAGGTCAGGGGACACTTGTGAAATTGGTTCCCTCCTCCCACCATGTGGATTCCCAGCATCAACTCAAGTCATCGGGTTTGGTGGCAAGCACCTTTACTCACTGAGCCATCTTGCTGGCCCTAGACTATTTTTACAGTTGGAATAGTCTGAGGGGTGAAGGGGAACAAGACACTAAAAAGAACAGCAACACAAACGTCATCCCAAAGCCAGGTGTGGTGCTACACACCTTTAATCCCAACACTTAGAAGCAGAGGCAGGTGGATCTCTCTGAGTTTGAGGCCAGCCTAACTAACATAGTGAGTTCTAGGCCAGCCACGGCGAAACAATGAGACCCTGTCTCAAAATAACAAAACAAAAACAAACAAAAAAGTAAAAAAAAAAATCATTCCCCTCTAGTAATTCTACATTTGCTTCCTAGAAGTTAATTCTGAAATTTCTTAGTTTGACTGTTTCCAAGAGAAAACTCTGCTTCTTTATAATTTCCCTCATAGCCATTTGTTCACCCTGACAAAAGAACACTCACCTTCATAATCTCTTACTGAATCTTCCGTCCGAACTCCTGCCATGCTATACTGGCTGCTCACAGACTGAGAGAGCATCCCTTCTAATCTCTCCAGCGTGGCTTGCCCTTCTGCTGTTAGATGGGACAGTCCTTCTTCGTAGGTATAAAATGTAGGGATATCTCCCTGCCCTTGTTCTAAACAAAAAGAAAGCTTTTAAGCTACTACGTAACAATTAGAAAAATCAAAATGGGTAATTAACAATGCAGTTGCTCAGGATGTACCCAGGCTGCTAGGAAAGTACTTCCAACGTTTATCACCCACCTTTAAGAGAATTTCAAAAAAAAGTCCCTACCCTCTAAGATGAGAAAGAATAAATAGTGTAGTTCTGGGGGTTAGGGAGGTGAGGTTGGCTGCAAGCTATCTGAAGAAATATAATGAATAGTTATGACCAGGCTTCTAAATGGAGGAGGTGGCTTGCTCTCTGGGGACCGCTGCTTCAGCCTAAAATACATTCCTGACTACTCATATCTGGCCATCACTTTCTCACCCCCATTTCTCTCCAGCATCTCACTCAATTATCCTTTTGTTTGTTTTTTTGAGACAGGTTCCCCTGTAGCCCTAGTTGGCCTGGAACTCACTATGTAGGCCAGGCTGGTCTCAACCTCACAGAGATCCACCTGCCTCTACCTCCCAAGTGCTGGGACTAAAGATGTATGCCACCACACCGAGTTTCAATTATCTCTCTTTTTTAAAAATTCTATTTTTACTACTTTTATTTTATGTGTATGAGTGTATTGCCTGAATGTGTGTAAGTGCACCTATGTTGTGCAATTTGTGCAATGCCTGTGGAGGTTCAAATGAGGGTGCTGGATTCCCCTGGAACAGGAATTATGGACAATTGTCAGTCACCGTGTGGATGCTGGGAACTGAATCAGGGTCCTCTGCAAGAGCAACCAGTGCTCTTAACCACTGAGACATCTCTCCAGTCCCTTCAATTATCTCTTATTACCCTTATACTTGGGAAGCCCATTCATTTCCCAATTTGTCTGCTGAAAGGGCCTGGACACTCCATGTACCACTGTATTATTCACTTTTATTTATAGCCATCTTACTGAAAACTAAAACTCAATGCCCTTAGTACAAATAAATACTTAAGATGAAACGCTAAAACCAGTAGTGAAGATCGGTTTCACTGACCATGTGCCTCCACATCATACTCCTCTCCATCATAATCATCCGAGTCTTCGTCCTCGGGATCGGGATGCAAGGCCTGGCATTCACACATTGCAGCAAACATCGCCTCCACTGAGGAAAGACATTACATTGTAACTAATGTTCTTTTCAGTGTACAATGAAATTTTATAAAGCATCAGTGCAAATAAATTTAACAAGCAGACATGGTTCACACTTGAGTAACAATATTTATAAGATCTGCAAAACTCAAATAGGATTGATCTTGAAAGTGCCTGGCTAACCCTAAAGTGCCTGTGATGATGAACAAGACAGAAATCCAAGGTACTACTGACATCACTTCGTGGGTGGCTGGATTTTCTACGAGAAAGGAGTCCTTGGTCACACTGATTAGGGTAAAGCCCCTGTCAGTTGACAGGGTACTTTCCAGCAACCCTGGCATTTTCCTCTTGGTAACAGTCTCCACAGGTGAGATTCAGTCAGCAGTATCAATCAATGAAACTAACCAGAGTCTTCCATGCAAAAAAGTACAACAGGTACCAGGTGTCTACAATACTCTGACTATATTCACAACCTCTGTGATGCTAGGAAGTACCTGGTCCTCAATGATTTTACAGATGCTAAAATGAAGAAAGAGCAATACAATGGAGGTGCCCATGCGGAAGGTGAGATGTGTATGTCCATGAGGGGTACATATAGGGCAAAGATCAGTATTATGGAACACTCACATGCTGACTTATCACTAGGCACAAATCTAAATTCAGTAATAGGTTCGACTTCATCATCACTGTCCTCCTCATCTTCAGACAAAGGTTCTTTTGACTCTTCTAGAAGAGAAATAAAAATAATTTTTAGACATTAAAAAAAAGTTTTGAAATATTTAAGTGTAGAACTGTGCTTGCCTGAGTACGTTTATGTGCACTGCATGTGTGCAGGAACCTTCAGAGGCCAGAAGCCACTGGATCCCCTGGAACTGGAGTTACAAGTGGCTGTGCGCCATCCTGTGGGTGCTGGGAACCCAACCTAGGTTCTCTAGAAGAGCAAGTGTTCTTGACTGCTGAGCCTTCTCTCCAGGCCCCATTTTTTTCTTTTGTTTTTTTTTTCTGACAGTGTCTCCCTGTATCGCTATCTAGCCTGGAATTCCCTATGCAGACCAGGCTGACCTCGATCTCAGAGAGATCCACCCACTCTGCATCCAGAGGACTGGGACTAAAGGTGTGCACCACCACATCTGGCTAATATCCCATTGTTAAAAATTTATTTTCGGTCTGGAGAGATGGCTCAGTGGTAAAGAACACAGACTGTTCATACAGAAGACCTGGATTTGAATCCCAGCACCCACATGGCAGCTAACAACTGTTTGTAATTCCAGTTCCAATGGATCCGATGGCCTCTTCTGTCCTCCGCAGGCATCACATGACACAGGTGCACCTACCTACATGCAAGCAATACACACTTACATATAAAAGTAATAAAATTATTTTTTAAAAATTTTTATTTTTTTTGGTCTTTTTGAGACAGGGTCTCCCTCTAGCCCCAGCTGTCCTGGAACTTACTATGTAGACCAGGCTGGCCTTTAACTCTCAGAGATCAGCCTGCCTCTGCCTCCCGAGTGCTGGGATTAAAGGCGTGTGCCACCACGCCTGGCTTATTTCATTTTTAATTACGTGTTTATGTGTGCGTGTGTGTGGTGAGAGGTGTTGTACCTGAGTACAGAGCCCAAGCGTGTTTATGTGTGTGTGTGTGTGTTGTACCCAAGTGCACAAGTGCAGAGCCCTAGCATGTTTATGTGTGTGGGGGGGCAGGATGTACCAAGTGCAGAGCCCAAGCATGTTTATGTGTGTGGGTGTTGTACCCGAGTGCAGAGCCCAAGCATGTTTATGTGTGTGTGTGTGGGGGGGGGGGGTTTGTACCCGAGTGCAGAGCCCAAGGAGGCCAGAAGGTGGCATCAGATTTCCTGGAACTGGAGTTACAGGTGGTTGTGTCGCCAGACTGAGAACAGAACTAGAATCCTCTGCAAGAGCAGTATTGCTCTCAACACTGAGCCATCTCTCCAGCACCAAGGAATAAAAATAACTTTAAAATAATTTTTTGACATTTCAAAAAGAAGCTAGATTTAAGTGTGGTAATATATGCCTGAAATCCCTGCACTTGAGAGGCTGAAGCAGAATGTTAAGTACAAAGTCAGTCTGAGCTATACAGTGACCCTTTCTCAAATTAAATACATAAAATTTAACAAAAAACAAGCTAGAAGTATTCCCTAAAGCAAATTTACTAATTATCTAAATACTGACGCTCAATATTTTATTTTGGTTTTGTTTTTGAGACAGGGTCTCACTGTGGAGCCATGGTTGGTCTAGAATGTGCTCTGTAGACTAGGCTGGACTTGAACTCACAGAAATCTGCCTCTGCCTCTGCCTCCCAAATGCTGATATTTAAAGGCACACGCCACCTCGCACAGAGCAGTTCCAAATTTAAAGAAATATATATAATTTTTTTATTTTAAGTGTATGAGTGAATTGCATGCATATAAGTACACCTGTGTCATGCAATGCCTGCAGAGATCAGAAAGGTGTCAGATCCCCTGGAACTGGAGTTAGGACAGTTGTTAGCCTTGATATAAATGCTGGACTCAAACTCAGGTCCTCTGCAAGAGCAGTCAGTGCTCTTAACTGTGACCCATCTCTCCAGCCCCTCAATTATTTTTTTTTCTTTTTGAGACAGGGTCTCCCTGTAGCCCCAGCTGGCCTAGAACTTGCTATGTAGACCAGCTGGACTTGAACTCTCAGAGATCAGCCTGCCTCTGCCTCCCAAGTGCTGGGATTAAAGGCATGTACAACCATATTCGACTTCAAATGTTTTTTAAATTAAATTTTATTACGCTTATTTTATGTGTATGAGTGTACTGCCTGCATGTAGGTAGGTGCACCCATGTTGTACAGTGCCCACAGAAGTCAAAAGAGGCAGTCGGATCTCCTGGAACTGGAGTTGCAGATGATTGTTAGCCATTATGTGGGTGCTGGGAACCCAACCAGGGTCCTCTGCAAGAGCAACCAGTGCGCCTAACCTCTGACCCATCTCTCCAGCCCTACAGTTTTTTAAAAAAACATTTATTTTCATCTCTGCATATGCTTGTGTGCCTGTGTAAGTATATGCCACATGTACACAAGTCTTAAGAGACCAGAAGAGGGCACTGGATGCCATGGACCTAAGTTTCAGGTTGTTGAGTCACCTAAGTGCTGGGAATAGAACTCAGGTCCTCCAGAGGAGCAGGAAGCTCTCCTAATTGCTTAGCCATCTATCTCTCTAGCCCCTGCAGTTCAATTTTGACTGATGGTTAATAGAGTTCAAAAAGGTTCTGGGGATATGCCTAGTGGTTGAGCACCTGCAAATCACTAGGAAGATGCAGCACCAACAATTTACAAGACAGAATCAAAGCTCATGAAAGTTAACTGACCCAACACATGCATGAATAGTTTGCTGATAAAAATGTTCACAGAGGTCCCACCTGGGGTACCAAAAAAAAAAAAATGTTCACAGAGATTTAGAGCTGGAGACTGGAGTTCAGTGGTGGAGGGCTTGTTCTGCACACACAAATTGCTCTGGGTTCAAGCCCTAGCCCCAAGACAAATGAATAAGCAGTGAGACGTATATCAGTGTAGAGACATGTTAAAAAAGCAGAATAAGAAAGGTAGTTGCAGAATATTTGAAACCATTTACAGTACAATGTAAACACAAAAGCATTATGCTAGCTAGAGGGATACACATATTCAGTAAAAGGTAAAAGCGCATATATGAAGGACAAGTTACTGTCACCATACTATTAACTTGAAGAGTAGGGGATGATAATATGCAGTGGTATACACAACAGTTAACAGTATTCAGGCAGTTTATAGTAATTATGGAAAAATGATAGAATTAATGCTGGAAACTAAATAACAGAGAAAAGTGATTATACTGTTCTGTATGTTTCAACCATTTCATAATGAAAACATAGGCAAATAAAGTATTTAAAATGGGGCTTGGAGAGATGGCTCAGTGGTTAAGAATACTGGTTGCTCTTGCAAAAGACCCAGGTTCGATTCCCAACACCCATGTGGTGAGGAACAACTGTTCATAACTCCAGTTCTAGGGGGATCCAATGCCTTCTGCTGTCCTCAGGGACTGCATGACATGGGTGCACCATGCAGGCAATACACTCACACAAATTTTTAAATTTAAATTGACCCCTAAAAACATCAAGCTTGTTTACAATTAACACTTTTTTTTTTTTTTTTTTTTTGGTCTTTTTGAGACAGGATCTCCCTATAGTCCCAGCGGGCCTGGAACTCACTATGTAGACCAGGCTGGCCTTGATCTCACAGAGGTCAGCCTGCCTCTGGGACTACAGGCATGCGCCACCATGCCTGGCGGAACTGCACTTTCTTAATGGAGTGATTCTATTTGCAGGGAGTGTTAGTTTTTCATCACTGTGACATACTAAGCAAACCACCTGAAAGAGGACTGATTTTAGCCCATGGCTTCAGAGGCTGGCCATGGTCAGCTAGCTCCACTGGTATGGAACAGAGGTGAGGTTATGCACTACAATGGCAGAGAGGGTGAGATGGGACAGAGATACTCACCTAATGACAGTCAGGAAGCAGTATGGGAAAGGGAGAGCATGATGGGACAGAGATGCTTCACCTCATAGCAGCCAGGAAACAGGAAAAGGAGAGAGGGGAGGAAATGGAGAGGAGAATGCTCAGTGCTAGCTTCCTCCTTCCCCTTTTGTTCCATCTGGGTCTCGGCCTACTGCATGGTACAACCCACATTCAGGACTTCTTCCCCTCTACCCCCTTAGTTACCTGTCTCTGAAAATGCCTTCCCAGAAACACAGGACTATGTTTTATTATTATCTTCAGGCTTTCTCCGTCCAATCAGGGTGACAGTATTAACCACCACAAAGGGCACCCACTAAAGGCTGCACTTTGTATGTTATAAAAGCCCAGTGTTGAATAGCATGAAAATACTATGCTGGGCGTGGTGGCGCACTTGGGAGGCAGAGGCAGGCGATGTGTGAGATCAGGTCCAGCTTAGTCTACATAGCAGGTTCCAGGCCAGCTGGAACTACAAGAAGACCTTGTCTCAAAACAGTAACAACAACATTGAAATAAACAAAGAACAAAAATAACCAAAACCAACCAAACAAAAAACAGATAATAATTTTTAAAAAACAGCCACTGATAAAATAACAGATTTTAGGCTGGGTGGCTCAGTGGTTACAAACATTGGTTGTTCTTGCAGAAGCCCTGGATTCAGTTCCTAGCACCCACATGGTAGCTAACAATCATCTGTAACTCCAGTGTTCCAGGGGATCCACTGCACACACGGCCACTGCACACACGCAATGTACTTATATACACACAGGCAAAACACTTATATGCATAAAATTTTTAAAATTTTATGTGTTATGGTTGCTAGGATTTGAACCCAGGTCTTCTGTAAGAGTAGCCAGTATTCTTAGCCACTGAGCCATCTCTCCAGTCCCCGAGTATCACACTTTTTTGAGACAGCCTTTTTCTGTACCTCCACCTGGCCTGGAACTTACTACGTAGACCAGGTTGGCCTCAATCTTAGAGGCAACCTGTATGCAGGGACTGAAAGCATGGGCCACCAGACCCAGCAGAGTAGCACTTTTAAAATTTATAAATCCATTCTATAAACGGAAATCAAGAGCGCTCAGACAGAGTCTATTTTTGTGTGACGATGTCAAAGGTCAACTTGGGGTAACAAGACAAGGACCCTCATTGAACCTGGTACTCAGTTTAGGTTTTAATGTTGGTGCTGA